TCTCCGGAGTGCGAGTAGTAGGAGTCTGGGCTCCTCCTCCAACCTGAGAGAAGGCTGGTGCTACATGAAGTAAGCCTGCCTGGATGACACTCTCCATGAGGCCCACTAGACGGACAAGAGCATCCTGGAGTACTAGGGTAGAAATGAACCCCTCTGGGACCTAAGCTGGGCCAACCGGAACTGCCTGGGCCGGAACCTCATCATCAAACTCAACCTGAGGCTCCGTGGCTGGTGCTGCTGCTCTGGGCTGAGCTCTGCCCCTGCCTTGGCCTCGCCTTCTGCCCCTTCTGGGTGTTGTTGCTGGGGGATGAGGCTGCTGATCAGTGGATGAAGAAGCGCATGTTCTCGCCATATGCAAAAGAACAGAATAGAAGTTCGATTAGCATTGAGAAACCAAAACGCACGACATGAAAGAATAGATGTGAAGTTTTTCCTAACTCTGTAGCCTCTAGGGGACAAATACAGACGTCTCTGTACCGATCCCTCAGACTCTACTAAGCTTGTCCGTGAATTGTGAGACCTAAGTAACCTAAAGCTCTGATACCAACTTGTCACGACCCGAATTTCCCCCCTCGGGAATCATGATGGCGCCTACTCGTGAAAGCTAGGCAAGCCGAGTGTTATAGATTCATTACCCTTTTTACTTAGCCTTTTTAACAGATCAATATAATAGGTTATCAACAGCGGAATCATTAAAAATAACCAAAAAAGCGGAAGACGAAAACTTAATAGTTTAACCAAACACTAATACATAAATTCGAGATACCACTCTACCCAGAATTTGGTGTCACAATATCACAGATTGTCTAGGAATACTACAAATAAGGGTTCGAAAGATAACTACAAGCTGTTTCAGAAATACATAAAGGAGAAACGGTATGGAAAGATAGAAGGAGACGTCAGGGCCTGCGGACGCCTGCAGGACTACCTCGGGTCGCCTGAATGGACTGAAGACAACACCCTCACTGCGGTCCAAAAGCTACAGCACCGGGATCTGCACAAAGTGCAGAGTGTAGTATCAGCACAACCGACCCCATGTGCTGGTAAGTGCCTAGCTTAACCTCAGCGAAGCAGTGACAAGGCTAGGACCAGACTACCAAATAAACCTATGCAGTTAAATCATATACAGCAGAAAATAAGCAGATAATCACAGTTAAAGAAGGGGAGGGGAAAGCATGCTACGGGGAGTATCAAATAACAACAAAATACCAAAAAGGAATGTACAGAAACCAGAATTTAATTGCCAACAATAATGAGGAAAACAAACAGAGTATTCACTTTCATTTCTTTCTTGTTGCAGGTGTGCAACCCAATCCCATTTCATATATCTCACTGCAGGCGTGCAACCCGAACCCATTTCATATATCTCGTTGCAGGCGTGCAATCCGCTCCAATTTCATATATATTGTTACGGGCGTGCAACCCGCTCTCATTTCATATATCTCGTTGCAGGTGTGCAACCTGATCCCATTTCAAATATTTTCGTGGCGGCATGCCACCCGCTCCCATTTCATATATCTTGTTGCAGGCGTGCAACCCGATCCTATTTACAAATCAACATCAATCACAAAAAAAATACCGACAATGGAACAAGAGTATAACAACATCCCGGCAAGGGAGACAATATCGTAAACAATAACATCCCGGCAAGGAATCAACAATGATAATTAATATATTAAGCATAAATCTCAACGGAGTCACAACAATTACAACACTAGACCCACGGGCATGCTTGACACCGACGTATAGATACTCGTCACCATGCCTATATATTGTACTCCACAATTAATATATAGCAAATAAGACACAACTCCTAATCCCTCAAGCTAAGGTTAGACCAAACACTTACCTCGACGCCATGAACACAATTCAAGCCTCAACTACCATTTTACCTCTTGTTTCAACCACCAACTCGCTTGTATCTAACAATTTACTTAACGATATCAATAAATGCTAAACAAATCAAATAGGTTTTATGAAGATTTCCCCAAAAAGTCAAAAATCGACACTGGGACCACATGGTCAAAACTCGAGGTTCGAATCAAAACCCGATTACCCATTTACCCACGAACCAAAATATATAATTTGTTTTGAAATCGGACCTCAAATCAAGGTCCAAATACCCAAAATTTGAAAAACCTAAGTTTTACCCAAAATACCCATTTCTCCCATGAAAGCTCTTGATTTTGAGTTGAAATCATGTGAAAAGATATTAAAGATTGAAGAAAACGAGTTAGGAATGACTTGCAATTGATTTGGAGAAGAATTTTTCTTTGGAAAATCGCCCAAGAGAGTTTATGTTTTGAAAGAGTTTGAAAAATGAAAAATTTTCGGCTAAGTTATGATTTAGCAGGCCGCAGATATCGCAATTGCGACCAGGGTTCGCAATTGCGAACCTCTTCAGGACCTGCTATCTTCACATTTGCGATCAATGTTCGCAATTGTGAACTTGCATTTGCGAAGGGATAGTCGCATTTGCGATGACTGGGGTTTTCGCATTTGCGAAGAAATGCTCGCAATTGCGAGCAAGCTTGGCCAGGGCTTACTTCGCATTTGCGAAGAGCCCCTCGCAATTCCCAAGTTCACAGACCTCGTATTTCCGATCACCTGATCTCGCAATTGCGAGATCAGAGGCCAACACCAGACCTGCAACCTGCAACTATTTTCTCTAAGTCTAAATACACTCTGTGGCCTATCCAAAACTCATCCTAGCCCTCGGGGCTCCCAACCAAACATGCACGCAAGCCTAAAAACATCATACGGACTTGCTCGTGCGATCAAATCATTAAATGAACATCAACAACTATGAATTAAACCTCAAATTCATGAAATCATTCAAGAACATCAAAATTTTCAATTTTTCAACTTTGGGTCCGTTTTATACCAAACCAACTCCAATCTTTACCAAATTTTATAGATTTATCTTAGTTATTATTTCAAACTTGTACCGGGCTCCGGAACCAAGATACGGACCCGATACCATCAAGAACCTTTATATTTTCCAGAAAATAATTTTCTTAAAAACTTTATTTCTCGGGCTTGGGACCTCGGAATTCGATTCCGGGCATACGCCCAAATCCCAAATTTTACTACGGACCCTACGAGGCTATCGGATCACGAGTCCAGGTTGGTTTACTAAGAATATTGACCAAAATCAACTTTATTCAATTTTAAAAGTAAATTTCCTTATTTCACTTAGTTTTCACTTAAAAGCTTTCCGGAAACGTGCCGAACTGCGCACGCAAATCGAGGTGAGACGAAGAGAGGTTTTTAAGGCCTCGAATCATAGAATTTACTTCAAAAACAAGTGATGACCTTTTGGGTCATCACAGAGACAAAAGGCTGAATGTGATAGTTTAATAGATATCAGTCATCACATCTTTGTAATGGTATCTCATCACAGTAGTATTTATCATATATAAATACCTTATGTATATCTGTTTGAATTATGTGTACATGTAAATGAGAGGGTAAATATAGGCTTCAAGGGTAGAGAACTTTTTAGTTTTCTAAATGAAATTAACTTTCCCATTTAGACAGTATAATCCTTAATAAGATTTTGAAAGAATATAAATCAAAGTACTTCAAATGGAAGTATCACAGTTCTTAAACTGATTTCAATGGATTCAAGCAACATTTTCCTAGACAAAATACTCCAGATTCTTCACAGACATCTAGGACACTAACAAAAGTGGCAATATCAAGGCTCAACCAATCCTCCGTATGAATATAATGTATATAAACTTAGTTACCTCTTTACAAACCGTTCTCAGAATATTCAAATATAATTAACATCCATGAGAACAGATTCTCAGAGAGCACTTTTACTAAACCTCAGCAGAGCGATCTCCATTATCCCATTTTTGCAACAACCTGAGTTTATTATAATTTTTAACTTAAATCCACAATCATCCAATCTACAATCAGATTCATTAAATAAGGTACAGTTTTGATAAAGGAATGAATCCAATATGTAATAAAAAATATATTTTTCGTCATATTTTAAATTTTTTTATCCTCATATAAATCATAATATTATTATGCTTCTTGGATTTCTTTAAAGACCAGATGATATTGGCGTAGTTACCACAATGAGCAACAATTTAAGGTGGATATATTTTCAGGATGAATATGGAAATCAGCCGCCTACTGACAGAAAAAAAAAGTATAGCTTTCAAAGCGTAGTATTCTACATTTTTAGGTTCCTAGAGCGGTCATGGATGCTACTTCAGGATTCAAATATAATGACATAACAAAGTCATGGGTGCTAATTTAGGATTCATTTCAGCACAAACATATAAAATTATACTGGCATTGCTCATATGAAAAATAAAATGCCACTCAAAGGTCCAAAACAGTATAAAATAATAGTACTAAATTTGATATCGGGATAACCTTTTTTATGTTGTCAAGAGTTTAAGTGCACCACCGATAAAAAAATTTGGACAAATCCAACATCCTCAATTACTTAACCAGAATGCTTCGAAGTGGATAATATTTTTACCAAGTAGTTCGTTTTCTGGAGCTCATAGTCAGGATTATTTGGAATGGTATCTGGTGCAATTAGCTTTTACCTTCTTGCATCATACAATTTCTTTAGTTATACCTCTCTCCATATTTTCTCTCCGATAAGAAGTTGTATCGGTCAAGATAGATATCAGTATATGGCCCAAGACAGTCATTCTTGTGCTTTGGGGACTTTTAGTAACAACTTATTCTTCGCATTATATTTGTTATAAATCCCAAAAATAAATTGGCTAGATTTGGTAAAATTGCTTCTAAATAATTCCTTGTTTTCTTTACCTCTTTTTAAAAGTTCTGAAAAGCAGCAAATATAAATATAAGTGCACCATTTTCAACCTCCCAATTAGAAAAGACAATGTATGAATCAAGCAGAGTTACACACACATCTCGTACTCATTTTTCGACACCGACTTGGTATTTTTAATGAAATCTTTCGACTTATACATAAGTTTTCTTAAAAGAACATCTCAACCACAAAGCATAAAAGTGGTCCTGACATAATATAAGAAAAAGAAGAAAAACACCATACTATTCTATAGTTTCCATTGTACATTAATACACAAGAATAGTGAAATAATCTTTTGCACGAATTTCTCAACAGAATAATTGGTGGATCAGTTCTAAAGTAAGGGGTGCTAATATTGCATGGTGATACATATAAAAAAGGTAAAGCTGGCAACTGGTAGAAAGTTCAAGAGAAAAGGATCTCACTTCATCATAGGATGTCATGCCATCACCAACATTCGTTTCTCCCTTCTAAGCCAAATCACATTTTTTTCCTTTGCACTATAACCATTGAGTCCTTGAGTTCAGCCTTTATTTTCACTGTTAATATCATAGCAACATCAATGATTCAACAACTTTCAAAAACATAAAAAGAAAATAAATAATTTGGAAGCAGGAGTCCCTGACATACACAATTTATCAAGTTTGTTCAAAAGAATTACGAAATTTAAAAACATAGCAGAGGGGAAAATATCTATTCACTCTGAAAAAATACAGTTATATCTAATTTTCTCATCCACAGAAACCATACAAATACACATGCAAGCAAATGGAATACTATTTTCAAAGAACATCGAATAAAGTTAAATCTTGAAATATTTTGTACTTAGCTGGTGGCTCCTTGTAGACACCGTAATTCAGCTTCATTAGCTAGAAATAGAAGTACCAACCGGCCAATTTTTGGAGCAAACCTCTCTTCATGCCATAGACTCCCTCTTATTGATGTCATTACTATTTTTGTTCCAGATAGCATTTTCCGAGAAATGCCAGATCCGAACAAATAGGCATAACTCAGAATTTGCATACTATTGGGAAAGCTAGAGAAATTTTATATGAATGCAGAAGCAAAGGAAATATGGAGGATGAGTGACAAAAAGAAAAAGAAATTAGCTTTGAAGTTGAATATTTTGAACATGAAGAAGACCAAATTTTTGTATGTTATAAGTGAAGACATCTGGTAGAGTTCCGATGAAGTTCCACTCCCACAATTCTCTCTCTTTAAAACCCTAGGAGAAGATAGCAGTCCGATTTAGATAAATTGGAGACGTGCTGCTATTATATGACGTTGGGAAGGACGTGTGTCAATTACCATTAAAATAGGCCAAACTCTACGGTACAATATACATTGCATTTTGCACAATCAATAAGTGCAGTGTTTGTCCCACCCAACTGTCTCTTCTAATATATATATACTAGTAAGGTTCAGCCCGTGCCCAACATGACTAATTTATTTTCAAGAAATTTATTTTAGCAGCATCTACAAAAGGTATTTGAAACTATTTTCTCTAATACATGTGATGAAGACCTTTGAAGATAAAAAAAAAAGTTTGAACTTTTCTCTTGGGGTGGAGTAAACTGCAAATATAAGGTTTCAAACGCCAAAGGATATAAAATTTGCTTGTTTGGATAAGTGTGGAAGACAAAGTAGCAGCACCAAAAGGATTCCCAGTTGAAACATCACTTAACAGAAAAATTAAGCTAACACATGTAACTGAGATTGTTCTCATCAACTTCTCTAACCAAGGCAATCTTTATGAATTCCGCAGCACTTCCAAATACATGCCTACCATCTATTAGTCTTATTCCCTCTTTCAATGTGGCTCCCACTTTCTCCATGCTTTAGTTTTGCAGCAACACATCTTTTTACTACAACATTCCTGTGCAATCTATTACTATGTTGCCATTCAAACTTGTAATGCAATGCCTAAAATTTCAAATACCTGGTGCAACAAAAGTATGATGTTAAACCNATTTCAAATACCTGGTGCGACAAAAGTATGATGTTAAACCCATGTCTAGCTTCTCTTTAACATCCTCTTTTTTAATATAATTTCTAGTTGCAACAATAACATAAGGATTAAGATAAGATGCCATATCCATTGAAGCAGTCCATAGAATGTCAATATTGGAGCATTCTTGCGGCACTTTAGTCATGATTCTGTCAATTCTTCTTCTTTGTCATGGTAAGCACTTACGAACTGCATTCATCTTTCCTCCAGATTAGAAAGACACATTTACAGTGGGAAGACAAATGCTTTAGGCCAGATCCAGATCCATATATATATATCCTATGCCTTCTCAAATCACCAAGATGAACAACTTCTAAGATTACAACCAATCAGTTGTGATTTTCATAGAAGTAGAGTGGTAAGATCATTATGTTTTCTCCTAGGCAATGACAAATAAGACAACATATGGTCAACTGAGTCCTGCAAGTTCTCTTTCTAGTGAAGGCATATCAAATACGCAAGAGCATCATGTTCTTCAAAATTAAGCAGCTTTATTCTAATTACATCCCCCCACTTTTCAAAATTTTCATATTAAAACTTTTCTTGGAAGGTTCACAGTGATATGGGAATATAGATTCCAGCAGGAGCAGCTTAGATGTAAGTATCATCATCCACATGACAACACAGAACTGTTAGCTCGGGTAACCAAATGCCAAGTCATTTGTTTAAGAATTTAATTTTATCAATAGGATTCGAATGGGCATCAATTTTCAAATACAACATAGGCCACATTGTAGATAAAATTGTTGCAGTTCACATTGCAAGTAAAACTTTTGGAGTAAATGGGTTTTCTTTTAAAGATTTAAAACTACCAGAACTATGTTATTTTAATAAATAGTATATATTGTAAGAGGTTGTCAAAAAGTTGGTGTTATCTTCATAAAAATGCATTCCCAAAGTTCAAAACAGACCTGGAGTCGTTGATCTCCATAGCAATTCAAATGGAAATTATCTAGTTATTGATCTTAAAATAATATCAGATTAATATCATGATATTCATACTGTGGAATACAAAAAGAAAGAATATGGTTAGATAGCTCAAATAAAGTAGCACATTGTTATTTTGGTGCAATTGTGAATGTGAAGTGTGTTCAGACAATGCTCAAAAGATAGCAAGACATATATCAGACATACACACACTTATCATTTTGGATGTTGGTTGCTCAAAGTTGGAGTATGTGCCTGCTTCATACGCAATCTAGAATAATGAACACTTGACGACACCTCAGTCAATTGTTCAACTGCATGTGGACCTACTTATCGATTTTAAATTGTGCATTTAAATTATCAGCAATCAAGAGACAAACTAAAAGCTTTTTAAAAGATAAATAAGAACAACACAAAAGTGTGATCTAAAAGGCGAGTGATATAGATTAAAATCTCATTTCAAATTTAATATATAAATGAAAAGGTTTGCAAGCCTGAGCAGTGCACCTAGACTGTTGCTTATACTGTGTAGAATGACACAAAAAATTAAATGTGATGGTTTAATAGACATCACATCCTTTTAATGCTATCTTATTACAATAGTATTTATCCTAGTAAATACCTTATGCTTCTATATATGATTAAATTATGTGTACATTTAAATTAGAGGAAAAACAATTTCTTGCACCATATCCTACCTATCCCGAAGGAAAGTCTCCAAAGTGGGATTGTATATTAGCTCAGTCTCCAACGAAGAAGGTCGAGGCATGCTTCAACTTAGCCCTATGATCTGTTAATTCATCTTTTTTTGAGGGACTACACTATATCAGAGAATGATTAAGGTATGTGCCAATAGTTTTTTATTAAAAGAGAGGTTGGTTCTTTAAAAAGGGCGCCCTCCTAATCTCATTTTGATAGGAAGAGATATTGATAATTATCCCAAGGAGGCTTTATTACTCAGTTGATAGATCAGGTGAGAAACTTTTAGCGCTTTCTAAATAAAATTGAGTTCCCGATTAAGATAGTATCCTCAATAAGATTTCCACACCTAGCCCACATATATCACAATAGTAAAACTAATTTCCGTGGAATCATGCACTCGTTTCCTAAACAAAACACACCAGATTATTCACATGCATATAGGACAAACAAAAGTGACAATATCAAGGCTCAGATAGTCCTCCGTATGAATGTATATTAACTCAGTTACCTCTTTACAAGCCCTTTTTAGAATATCCAGATATAATTAACATCCATGAATCAAGATCCTCAGAAAGCATCTTACCGAACATCAGCATAGCTATCTTCATTATCCCTGTTTTGCAATAACATGAGTTTATTATAACCTTAATCTTAAAAGCACAGTAATTTAATCAAAAATCAGATTTATTAAATAAGCTAAAGTGTTGACACAAGAAATGAATCCAATAGGTAATAATAAATATATTTTTCTTAATATGTCAATGATATTATATTTTATTCTCACGTAAATCATTGTACTATTATGCTTAACAACAATTTAAGTTGAATACATGTCCCTATATAAATTTTTAACGCTAAAAAAGGTAGAAGAAAAACGTAGAATCACGCAATTTCATTTATCTAGACAGTCTCAAGCTATCGACTTTCATGGGTATCCTATCCGTGGAAAGCTCAAATCTTCTAATGCCTTTGCAACTAAGATAGTACCTTCATCTTTCAATTCATTCTCAGCAAAGTTTAACTTGGTAAGAATTTGTTTTACAGTTATACAGGTGGGCAAAGAAGGAGAAGGTTTGATGGTGTTGTCTTTCTAAAACACCAAGAATTCAACAAATTTATTAAGGGCATTAGCAAGAGAAGTGAAGACTTTATCCTACAAATTCAAGTAACTCGGGTGAGATTTCAGTTAAGTTTGACAAACAAACTCGATATGACTTTGCTCAATACAATTTCAGCTTCCTCATAAACATCTTTCATGCCAGTCAACCCCCATTAAGTTGGTGCATACTCCAACTGCTTGTGAAAGATAGTAGATGACGCCCTTATCGTCATCAGATTCAAATCATTGTATATGAACATGATATCCTCCACTATTGGAGAGTGCTTCACAAGTTCAGAGATAGCAATAACGCCCTTATCTCCTCTCATGTTATTGTAAAAATGAAGGGCCCGCAGTTTTCCAGTCGAGGGAATTAGTTCGCGCGCTACATGTGCTCTAACCAAACCCAAAGAGGATAAGGAACTGAACTAACAATATCTATGAAATCTTAGACATATGCAAATCAATGATAAATCAAAATATTCATATATAAAATTGGGTAGCAAAATAGAAAACACCAAAGAAATACTCATAAATACAGAAGAAGACAATACGAACAGGATAGGACGAAAGTAGGAACCAAATTAACACCCAATTTCCCTCCCTAAAAAGTCGAATGAAGCATGTTCATGAGGTTGTTATTTTGGAACCAATTCCTTATAAATGAAATACCAATGTGTCTGAAGCTCATACGTACAATTCATTTTTTATATATACAATAAGTATTGAAATACCAATTAACGAAAATCATGACATCGATATGAAAAATTAAAATAACCTAAAAAAAAGTTCTTAATAGTTTGTTCAGGAAGAAGAAAGTTCATTCATTACCTCTCAATATGAGCCGCCGAGAGATTACTTAAAAGCAGCTTCTTTGCAACCTTCACCGTTTATTCCTCTTGCACCCCAAAAAATCCTATGTGTGTTTCAGTTGCTTGATCACATTGAATTTTTACTACCCCAATTTCAAATCTTAGGTTAAAATTTAAAATTTCATTAAAATAAAAGAAATTACTCACATGCAACACTTCAGAAATGTGTGATATCAGACGAACCAAGAATACATATAGAAAAAGAATAGTAAAACAAAGCTTGGAGTTAACCAAGACCCAAAAAGAAAATTAACAACAAAATGAAGAAGCGGAAAAACCAGAGAAGAAAAAGTGAGCATATTTCGAAGGAGGAAAGCAGCGAAATGACTGATATTGAAGTGGAAAAATGGGATCAATGAAAGTGGGAGACAACAACAACAACAACAACAACAAGACACTGTAATCCCACAAGTGGGGTCTGGAGACGGTAATATGTACGCAGACCTTACCTCTACCCGAGGAGCAGAGAGGCTGTTTCCAGGAGACCCTCGACTCGAAAAGGCAACAAGGGACACTATATTAGTACTATCAATATACTCATTGTGAGCACGCGATTTTTGTTTCGCACGACAATCGCTCCAAAAAAAAAAATAATAATAATAATTGGCCCTGCTGTACAATTTTGAATTTCTGTGCGGCACCTTGTTGATTTATTTGTGACTTCGGCCCATTTTTATTTATTTACTTTATTAAAAATAAAATTCAAAAATATATGTGTCCTGCATAATTCAAACCGTAATCCGGTCGTTAAATAGAAAATCATGAATAGGCATCTTCGTCCGTGATTTTATTTTGTTTAACTTTACTTGTTTGAAATATTTTAGTGTGCAAATAATTGTATTGAGTGTGTATTTAATTTTAATTTAATTTTTGGCTTAGTTTTGTTTTAAAAAAAAAAGGAAATAAATAAAATAAAATAAAATAAAATAAAATAAAAAAAAGAAAGGGTCCCTTTATTCTTCCGGATTTGGGCCAATTTTAACAAAATTGGCCCAA